ATGCTCCCTGTTGGTTTGGACCCATTTCCTGGCTTGTCCTCAGACCTGTCTTGTTAGTATGGACCTGCCCAGCAACCACTGGACTGTGTCTTACCCCGGTTATTCTCACTAGACCCAGTCCTGTCCCTGACTCCTGGATGGACTTCCCACCTTTACCCTGGACCTGCCTTATTGCTGTGAACTTGCCTGGAGGTCTAGCCTCATGGCTGACACTGGCTGTTGTACCCGATCCTGTCCGGCTCCCCTCGCTGGGGTGCTGGCTGGTGAGGTCCCTGGTCCGGGAGCTGTGTTACTGCACTTGTGTCCCCCTCCCTTAGGGAGCAGCTGGCCCGTGCCACTCCCCAACATTCGCTTCTTTTCCGTAAACCTAAATCCATCCTTCCTGATACACACCACAAGAGTGTTGTAATTTGGTCCAGTCTAGACTAATTTTTTTTTTTTTTTTTTACAGCCCATTTAGTCATTCTGTCTACTCTCTCAGTTTGCTGGAGATTAAAGAAATTCATTTCTTCCTTGGCAATGCAAGTTCTTGGCTCCTCAAAACCCCTGTATTTCTTCCTTCACAGGTGCAGGGTCAGGGACTTTGTTGTTTGCCTCTCAAACATCACTGAATTTGATACAACAGCTATGAGGTAGGCAAGTATTGCTGCCATCCACTTTGCAGAAAAAAGATACAGCCAGACTTGGTAGCAAACTTTAAAATCTTATTTAGGTCATATGAGCTGTATCACAGAGCAGCTCTGACAGAATGAGGGATAAAAGACAGTTCTCTTGCGTCCTGTCCATTGCCTCAAGCACAAAGGCCATTCTTTTCTTCCTGCAAATGCGTCCCTCACACACGATATAAACCCTTCATTTTTGGAGCTTGCTGCTGGGTAAACTATATTTGCACCCCGTTAATTTTTGAAGTTGACCACACATAAATCTATTAAATATGTAATATGGTGAAATACTGATTTCATCCAGCCTTGTACACAGAGCAGTGTAAAAGCGCTCTTTTTTTCCAGTGAGTAAAGGACTAGGGTATCTAAGCAGTGGTTTGTGAAACCTTCCAGGTTTATTGATGATCAGGTCTGGTAATACCTGTTTTGGGAAAATGAAATATTGGTGTCTTTAAAGTGCGTAAAATTTAATATAAACAGACATAGAGCTACGACCTTCATTCAATTGTTAACAAGGGACTAAAACCACATGGAATTGTGCTACTTCTGTATTGTAAGTCAGTGCAAGATTTACTTAGGAACTGCAGATCCCCACCAGAGCTTAATGCAGTTTTTTTACAACTTTCTACAGCAGTTTGCTCCAGTTGAAATTATCCTATTCTACACAGAAAACAGAACTATAGTATTTTACAATTTTCTTTTCTCAGAGTTGGTGGAATGAAACAATTACTGCTGAGCTCTAAAACTGCTTGTACTGCTGGTGATACACTTTCCAGGACTGCAAGCATCTGATAAAACAAAACATGCAGCATTTTGTATTCTGAGTTTCACAAATTTAATCCAAAATTGCAACATTTGCTTCAGGAATTGGCAGCTCTAGGACTGGAGGTGAGGCTTTGTGAATTCTGGCGTTCGACCCGAATCCAAATCAGAAGATTTGTAGTTACATTTATTTGAAAGAAGTGAAGAACTTCGGTAGGAAGAAAAACACAAGTTTCAATTCTGTGAGATATTTAGAATATTTAGAAAGAAAGAAGAGAACCTGAGGATGGTGACAAAAAAATATATAGAAATAGGAATCAAAGACTGGAAAATGTAGTGGAAATACCCCTGAGACCAGGCACAAGATGAGATTTCTCAGACTAGTGGTCACAGCATTAAAAGGGGAAAAAACCCATTACATCTTCTAGAAAAACAATATAAACCTTGTAAATTGTTATAAAGCTCCTAATATCTTGTTGTGATAATGGGAAAGAAACACCTTTCTTTTGGCAAAATCTCCACAACAGATGCATCTGAAAAGCATCCAGTATCTGATTCTGGCAGTGAAGAGAAAAGGTTTCCAATTTCTCTGGCAACAAATCCAATAAGGTGTGTCTTTTGGGAGGTTAATCAGTAGTTCAAAGAAAAGTCTCTGAGCTCTGAAAGCCACAGAGTAGTGGACTTCTAGCAGATGGGGCAGGGGCGTGTCAAAGAAATTTCTCAGTGGCTGAATTTAAATAAGTGTTTCTCAGAAAAAAAAAAAAAACATGCAACTGAATACCTCAACTACGAAGTTCATGAACAAGTTCTGAAGGAAAGGAGTCACAGCAAGTCGGTAGACAGTCTGAAGTATAATAAAATGTCAGCCTTGTGCCTTCCACTGAAGCTTACCTATCGGTGTTAGCCTATTTTAATAATATTTAATGTGTATTTTTAATCTTTTTTCTCATGTTAATAATGGTCTAATTTTACTAAACTCTATTTGGTGAATTAGCTGTTTTCGACTCAGATCAGCTGAGTAATGTTAATCTAGTGTCCCTGAGATTAAAAGAATTGCTAGAAATGGCTCCAGAGAAAAATCAAGAAAATATCAGAAAAGCAAACCTGCAACTAAAAAATTTCTTGTTTTACAGAAGAAGGTAGGACAGTATGGGGTAGAAGCATATGACAAGTTGTATGCCTTTGGAAAGTACATTTCTGTTAGTCAAGGAAAATTTTACTTTTTCTAAGCAACATATGATAGTTTTAGTGAACTTTTATACTAGGTAGAAGGATTTTGGACATTAGAAAAACTATGATCTAGAGAAGTCTATTTTCTTTTGTTATCACTGATGGTTTGTTTCAGAAAAGCAATTTTAATTTGTATTGAGAAAGACCTGTAAGGAGCAGTTAATGGCATTGCTGGAGCTAAAATATCAATCATATCAAATTCATTTTACTAGTATACTAGCAGAAAAAGGAGTTACTACTGATCATTCTTTGTCAGTGAATAAATTTTCACAGAATGCACTTAAAAACTGGTTATAACATCACAAAAGGACAAAGAATATAACTCAAATCTTGGTGGACTGACCATCCTGACTGTTGCTCCTGTAAAGTAAATTAATTTTTAATAAAAATATTACCTATATGACCACTTGTTTTAATCATTGTAAAAGGTTATAATGTAAAAATATGTCTTAGTAATTTTAAAGCATGGCTAAAAGGAATAAGATGAAGCAGAGGCCATGAAAGAAGTAATTAAGGCAGCCAGTGTAGTCATGATCTTCAGGAAATACTTCATTGGTCGACCAAGAAACTTGGCAAAACTGACTTAAAAGGAACAGCAAAAAGGTGGAATGCCGTTTGAGGATCAATTAATGCAATTTCTACATTGCAGAAACCAGATTATGCTGCTTTGTCATGAAGAAATTTTCAAAAGCACAAAAAGGGTTCTAACATTCCTCTTTTTTTACCATAAACTGTGTTGCTATCTAACAGTTAAGCAGCATACTGAAAAAAATAAATTAGTTGCATGGTAAACATAAAAGCATGAAATACACCCGGCAGAACCACTAACATGCATAGATTGGGAGGATATAACCATATATATAAGAAAGGCTGAAGGATTACTGAAGAGATGAGTTTGTCTTGAAAGCAAAGCTGCCAGCAGAACTCAGAAGTCTCACCTGTGACCTTTCGTCTCTCAGTGCATCCCCTTGCTTTTACTTAGGCATGTGTGTGACAGACTTTCAGCCCAGGAAATTTAGCAATAGCTGGGTCTTATTTTTGCACGGATAAAATGCCTTCTCATTATATAAATTTTATGGTTATTTCAATTCAAATGAAGAAGTTCCCACTCCTGAAGGACAGATACCACTTCCTCTTCTTTACTTGACCACGTCACTGCATATCAAATATTTTCAGATTGTTTTGAATGGACTGTGCTTCTCTCTCGAAGGAGGCCAAGGAAAAGGAGAGTTAGAAGGGAGATTTAAAATGCGTAATTCCAACTACACATAGAGACGGTCATCGGGAAGTATCTGCATACAATTTATACACTTCTAAATTTTCCTGTGTAATATCACATATATTTCTCTTCTGTGTATTGTATTTTCTCTGTTTGCATGTAAGATATCTGTTTTACACTGTGATTTGCTTCTCCTGTTTCCGACATAACAAACAAATAAAAAAGACAATCAGTGCAATGGTTGTGATCATAATTTTATTAAATTAAAAATCGAGTGCCACTCTCTTCATTTCAGTCTGTAACCATGTTATCTCCAGCTAAAATTATTTTTGCTCTGTTAGGAATAGTAATGTGAAACTCTGTTTTTGCAGTCATGTGGCTGGAGGAAAACCAGCAGTGATTAAGACAGAAAATCTGAAGTAGTTATATGGAAAAAAACCTTAAATCTGTAAACCAGATTGCTTTGTGCTATTTATCTGGCTGCTTTGTGCTATTAGGCAGCTCAAAGAGGACAGTTTTGCCACTATAAAAAAAAACAGGTGAGAAAATCTGTTGAGAGATGGTTGCTTGTGTCACCTTTAAGCAAACTGTACCACTCACTGTCCCATGCAGTGAGACGCGTGCTCTAAGAAAGGGGGAGGGCACAGAGGAGTTCATTAAGCTTTACCAGTCCCTAACTGATGTAAGCTAAGCTCTGCTGATTCATGCTAGGACCAACTGACAGTGGTTTCCAATCAGCCCTCAGCACTGCGAATATGTAAGAGTTTCATTGATGAGTCTTTTCCCTTCATACAGTCTCAAACATCACTTTGGATACAAGAAAGCTTTTGCTCTTAACAGCACTGGAAATACACAAGAATTGTCCATCCCCATGACGCAAAATGGGAGCCTGCTGTGAACTTTTTGTCACACATAGTAAAGCTCTTTCTGTAGTACACCTGTTGATAGATTATGGTAGTAAAAGACTAGTGTCTTGATCACATTTCAGGCAAAATGGAAAAAAAAATGTGGGTGCATATATTATTGTTGAGATCGTTGCTTGTCATTATAATAATAAATACAGTCCATCTGCTTCTTCCTCATTGAGTCTCAGTTCACTAGTTTGCCTTTTTCTCAATTTCTGACAGGTGAGGAATGATCTGACTCGCGTCCTGTATGGTGAAGACATCGAAATTTCAGATACTGAGAGTTTCCTCAATGATCCTTGCACAAGTGTAAAGAAGCTTAAGGTATGTGCTGCTGTTTGAGGAATAAAGAGAAAGTAATGATTATGTCATGGCATTTGAATTAATTTTTTTTCCCATGAAGAAGGCTAATAAAACGAAATTTACGTAAGAATGATATACTGCTACATTCTGTTGCATAGTAAGGTTAACAAAAGGCATTTTGAGGGCCTAGTCCTGCTTCAGTCAATGAATATCCATGCATATATTAAATGTTTTTATAGCTCCTGATAAGGACACAAAGTAAAGCAAGTTGTTGCTGGCTTAATGTTTGTACCTAACACACCAGTCTTAGTGATATATGTGTGAAAGCTCATGAGGTTTGGAACCAGAACCCTTTTAAGGTAAATTATCATGTAGCAAAAGCATTGAGCATCTTTCCATTAGCTTCATTACACATTTTAGATTGAATTCTCTGCTTATAATCATCTGCATTATTTCATATGAATCACAGGAAAAAAAAAAAAAGGAAAAATAAATTTGATAGCAGAATAATTTACTGTCCTTCTCTTATTATAATGATTTATTAGGTTCCTGGCATCTCATAAAATTAAAACTATATTTTAGCATTACTGTGCAGTGCAACCAACAATAAACTAGAAACAGGAGATATGAATCTTAAATGGCATATGAACATGAAAAAATGATTGAACAGGAAGAGCAACCACTTCTAAATGGTGAAGATCAAATCATTGCTGGCATCAAATACGTATGAGAGACAATCAAAGTCCCAATCCTGCAAGTACTTAAATATGTGTAGAACAGGTTTAAAAAAACCTGATAAACTGAATGGTATTAAAAAACTAAAATTAAAGCAAGTATATTGACCTGTATAAGACTAGGCCACTACTGAAGCTAACTGGAAAAGGTCTGAAGCACGGTAAACTAAGTGTGCTTTAGTATTCCCACAGTCTAGAGATGCAAGCCTGAATGTTTGAAGTATAAATAGGTAAAGATTACGTTTATAGGAAGCCATTTGTGTCTGTCCAGTCTAAGCCAGTTTGCATTTCCTATCTGGGGGTTGAAAAGACTCTGGTATGTGTTATCAGTGAAGTCCACATTTTTTACAAGGTTTTAACCCCTGGCATCAGAAAACTAACAATTCTGAAGTCAGAGCTATTTAAACCAATGGATGATGTAATAACAAAAAAAAAATGCATATAAGCATGTATATTTAGGCTGAAGTTTAGAAGCAGCAATAAGATTCTAGCCTTCCTGTTCGTCAACAACACGCTGTTTGTTTTATAAGGAAGACCAGAAGACTCTATCAAACAATATATTGAAGTTAACTCTTGAGTTCTTCTACAAAGCAAATTACTACAACAATAAATAAGTAATTATCTAGACAATCACTTATTCTTGACAGGAATATAGGGTTACTTGTCCTTAGGTATACACGTCAGGCACAACTTAGCTATCGAATTCTGAGAATGTTCATTCCTTTCTTCAAAATGTAAACCTAATATAGGTAAACTGGTATCTGCGTACTGTACTTGTGATTAAAATAAAACATAAAATACTTTTCCTTTTCCTTTAAACACAGTTTAAATTAATGAAAGTAATGATTATGCAATACAAAATAGAAATATCTGGAATGATTTGCAGAAATATATGTTCTATATTTTTCCCAGCAACACCTTAACTTTTACTACATTGGCTCCAGCCTCTTTGAATCACAGTTGGAAAGTAAATTTAGGCTTGGGGATATCTTTAAAACTCAGTTTTGTGTTCAGAGAAAGGATGTTGGAGGATATGCACTTGTACATCAACTTAAATGTTTAAAAATTCTAAGCATTCACAGGCAAATTGTATGAGCAATAACACTTCTGCTTCCAACTTTCTTGTATCTTGCACGTAGGACAAAAAAATTGCAATATATGAATTCCAGTTCAATGAAACCATTTCCATCTGATTTCCCAAATACAATAGGTGTTTTGGATACTGACTGAACACAATCTCTTGTTCTAACAGTCAAGTTAATTACATTTTAAAATTTTGGGCCAGGAATGGGTTTGGATGTGGCCTCAATCTAAGTGAGTGACAGGCACATTAACACAGACATCAGCAAGTTTTGCCAGCATGTTATGATGGTGGAGGCTGACATCCTCTAGTTCACCTTCACCATCAGTGATTCTGTAGAGGTTAGAGGCTCATCTATAGTTCTCCAAGCGGACATCTAGGCATTTAGAAGGCAGAACATGTGGATACCTCTATTGACAAAGTTACCCAGCTTTGAGTAGGTTTATTGATAACATCTTGACTGTCAGATACGTGGTAGAGAATATGACAGAGTATCTGAGCTGTTCAATTTAGATATTTCATAAAGAGCCTGCCAAGACATTGACTTTTCCTGGCAGATGAGATATTGTAGCAATCCTTCTCTGGAAAGCTGTGTAATACAACATTGTGGTGTTATTCTTTAGAAATGAGACAGATTAAAATCTGATCACAGAAGGGAAGCTCTGCAGGCCGAAAAAAAAAATAGCTGCCTATTCCAGCATAATGTGCATCACTCAAACTGAAAAGGCTAAAGAGTGCCTCATATCTGAAGCTATTAGAAATGCCAGTGGAGGAGACAAGTTGTTCTTCATCCCTCAGTGGAGCATCTTAGATGTCTTGATCCTTACTGTCTTCAGGGTTTATACTACTCAGCTGCCAGTAGTACCAAAGGGACTTTATATTTAGTGGATGAATAATACCCTCACCTATAAGAAAGAACGAAGGGAGCAAGAGAGTCATGCATTTTTGAGGCTGTGCTATAGTCTTCATTTATAAAACATGTTTTTATGGAGACTCCACCACAACTGTGGGTAAATGAAATGTAACCGTTCTTCATTTTCTTGTTTGAACTTTAGTCCATATGGGAACATATGTATTGCTTACTGAGGGGCAAAGTTTAAAGGCTGATATTGCTACTCTAATCTCTGAGAAGAGTAAATATGACAGCTCACCATCTGGCAAATGGTCTAAACATTGGTCTTTTTATGTAAGTGCAGTTTTGGGAGTTGCTTTCCCCCTGGGATATTTTTAATCATCTCATAGATCACCTGCCTAGTTCCATGAATTAAAAACTCTTCTGTCGAATATGCTTTAGCTCCATGCAAGCAATTTACAACTCTGTGAGAAAGAAAGAGTACTTGACACTTGCTGGGATCCAGTGGGTGACTTCTTTGATCCCTACAAGAGAGTTACACCGTGTTAACTTGCATCAGTCCCATGAGGGTTGATGTAAAGGAATAGTACATCCTTGCCAGGAAATCACACTGGTTAATAGTCAGTTAACAGTGTGACTGAAGGGGGCAAAGTATTATGTCCCAGTAAGTTTCTGATGTATCTCTTTGCATGAGACTATAATGTGGACACATACCCTGACCCATGAGCGCTGCAATGAACTCTGTTCTGATAAACTTCATTGCAGACTTCACTATCCATCCAGATAAAATCTCTGCAAGGGATTTGAGCTATGTCCAGTTGCATGAATTTGAAGCTTCAATGTCTTTTATGCAGGACAGGGCCAGCAGACCCAAGCCTGGCATCAAATGGATCTAGGCTTATTTACCATCTTAAATGCAATTCTGGAGGAACAAATTTGGGAAAAATGTGGAGGGGGATGCAAAAAACAGAGTTGGA